ATGTTATGTTAATCACCATACATTACATCATTAGTTTTTGATGTAGTGTTCCATGATTCATTGTTTGCGTATAACACCCAGTGCTCCATTCAGTATGTACCCTCCTTAATACCCATCACCAAGCTAACCCATCCCCCCCACCCACCTCCCCTCTAGAACCCTCAGTTTGTTTCTTTTTTAAGTTTTGTGGGTTTTTTAGACTTTATTTATTTATTTGAGAGAGAGCACAAGCAGGGGGAGCAGCAGACAGAGAGAGAGGGAGAAGCAGGCTCCCCGCCGAGCAGAGAGGCCGATGCCAGGACCCCGAGATCATGACCTGAGCCGAAGTCAGACGCTTAACCGACTGAGCCACCCAGGTGCCCCTTTTTTAAAGTTTTTTAAATGTAAGTAGTCCCTACACCCATCGTGGGGCTCGAACTCATGATTCCAAGATCAAGAGTCGCATCCTCTTCCAACCGAGCCAGCAAGGCGCCCTTGAAAAGAAATTCTTAATTTTAATTGAGCGGCAGGGGCACGGCATGATCTTGTCCTCCACAGGGCTCCCTGATGGCTGATTGGCAGGAACCAAGCCATCTCAATGCTGCCTCTGGGGATCACTCAGAACTTACTCCTGGAATTCATGGGGCAGGGGGACAGAATTAGGGAAACAAACTGAATTGTGTATTCTTTCAAATCTTGTATCTGGACCTCTCCTTTTAAAACTCAAGAGCCAAGAATTTGACATCTTTGTTTCCTAGTTCTTCTCTGAGAATCCCCCCCACGGGGCAATGAACGACAGGAGTCTTGGCTATTTGGCCTGGGAGGAGAGGTGTGATAAAGGTGGAGGAGGAGGCTTCTTTTAGGCTAAATGTGGGTCATTACTTCATATATTATCCTGCCACACACAAATCCACCTCTAAACGCTTCAGTGAAAAAGTTAACCACACGCACATCACCGATTGTTTACTGAGCGCTAAAGATTGAATCAGGAGGGCTACATATAGGAAGCAGAACTGCTGACGATTCCAAAATGTGACCTTGAGTACATATGCCCTTCCGCAGGTTTCAATCTCTCAATCTATGAAACAAAGAGAAAGCTTCCTACAGTGTTTATCTTGCTGAATTCCAAGGCTATAAGGAACAGTGATGCTCCTTGGAGACCTCTGAGGAAAGGGGGGCTTTAGATTTAAAGGCTAAGATATTCACCCCTAGCTCAAAAAAGGCTGTTATTTCTCAAGACAAAGAGTATAAAAGAGACTTTGAGGTTTTCTTGCGGGGAGGGGAAAGAAGAGGGATTTTATGTTCCTGTCTATAATAGTTTTGGTCTTCTTCAAGTTAAAAGAAATAAGAATGTTCTAGAACTCTTTCAAGAATAGAAAAATTCACTCCATTTCCTGTTTCTTTAGGCTGGATGAAATGGCAGGAGTTCTGCTCCACTTTTAGTTGATTATGCCCCTAAATAAGGTTTATTTAGACAAACTCAGGTCCTTTGGTTTAGAATCTGTTTTAGGATATGCAGCAAGATGGACAAAGAATAAAATTTTAGTTGATGTAAAGAGAAATGACTCCATCATGGTTAAAAATGAATTTTTTAAAAATGATTAAATTCTTACTGATTTTTTTTTTTTCCAAGCCAGTCATTTCAGAGTTGATGCTTTGGAAATTAGCTACTTTAGACATTTTTGGTAATCTAATAATTTCACATTCCTAATGGAAAACTATCCCTTCTTCTTTCAGATTTGTTTAAAGTTACATTTGTACAGGGGCACCTGGCTGGCTCAGTCGGAAGAGCATGCGACTCTTGATCTTGGGGTCGTGAGTTCGAGCCCCACATTGGGTGTAGAGATTACTTAAATAAATAAAAACTTTAAAAAAAGTCATATTTGTGCAAATCCTTCTCTGAAAGAATGCAAATTTGAGTCAAGAGTTTCCTGAAGTTGAATGAGGAGCTCCAGATTCCATTCCATAAATTGAGAGTGGCTTTGGTAAGCATAGTGGGTTCTAGAAAGTTCAAAACTGAGTATTTGGGGAGTGTTCTGATTCCTGTTTTGAGTTGGGCAAGTTTTTCCTGGTGTAGGTCTGCTACCTGAGAAACTCCTGGGATCACCGCTTTCAAGCCATCTCCTATTTTCTCCTTCAGTTAATCCCAAGAAGAAAACAGACCGGAAACTGTGTAAGCAGTAGGGCATTTCCCCCCCAACAAGTCTGTCTTGGCATTTGTGCACTTTACAAAGCTCAGACACCTTCATTGGCTCCCCATTTCCTGTCAGTTGATGTGTAGTTCTTTTTATTTAACATTTAACATTCTCAATAAACATGTCCCTAATTGAAAATTTTAGCCCTATGTGCCCCTCCCCCATATAATCTCCTCTTTGGTTAAATTTAACAGTTAATGCTCAACTGACAGGATTTCTCCATGCTGCACCGTACAGTTTTTGCTACCTGCCAGAACCACCCCCTCTCCTGTACTTGCATATTGAAACCACAAACATCTTTCAAGGTCATGGGCCGGGGCATTGTTTTCTGATCTTGGATGCTACACAGTGTCACTTCTTGCTTAATATCATAGGCAAAAAACTTGTGACTGATGTGGGAGACAATGGCAGAAGGAAATGTAGATAAAATTAAAGGTCCTTATAACCTGCAGCCCACTGACAAATACTTGAGGCAGGCTAAGTATAAAGGAAGCTCCCTTCTATCTTAATGTTGATGCCTTGCTAGAGGGAAAAACTACCTTAGCTTGACAATAGCAAGGCCTCCACTATCTCTTGAGCCTTCTTTAGCGTATGAATATCCTTTTGGGAATTTCCCTTCTCTTTACCTCCCTCAACTCCATAGTATATAATCAGTCGCTCCTCACAATCCCAGGGCAGCAGCTCTTTCTGCACTCGGGTCCTATTCCCCTGCTTTAATAAAACCACGTTTTTGCACCCGAGTCTCAAGAATTCTTTCTTGGCCCACGGCTCTGGACCCCAACAACGCTACTCCAAAAAACACATGAGGAGCACTGGTTATTGTATGTAAATGATGAATCACTGAATCCTACTCCAGAAACCAATGTTGCACTGTATGTTAACTAAAATTTAAATATAAGAAAATATATCATAGGCAAAAAAACTTAAAAGTCGGAAGAGAGGATCCTGGTCTAATTAGTAGGTCTAGCCCTCACGTAACACTGAGCAAATGGATGAAGGAAGTAATTAATGTTCTTGTCCCGTCACTCCTGGTGGAGAGGAGAGTCTTAGGAGATAGGGTTGCCAGATTTAGCAAATCAAGATATAGGACGCCCAGTCATATGTGAATTTCAGGTAAACCACGAATACCTTTTTTTTTTTTTAAAGTATAAGCATGTCCCATGAAATATTCACGACATATTTATACTAAAAAGTATTCATGGTTCATCTGAAATTCAAATTTAACTAGGCGTCTTGTGTTTTATCTGGCACTCCTGCTTGGAGGGCAGGGACTCCCGGAGGCGCCTGGCTTCCACCCAGCAGATGCTCAACATCTGTGCAATTGTTAGAACGAATTCCAAACCAGCCCCGCAGCTTCCACAGCTGCACCCGTAGCGGGGCGGAGCCAAGCCACCGGGAAAGACACAGACACCCCGGTTGGAGACCATCACTGGAGATTGGCCAAGGGGTCCGCACCTGGGAGGCAGCCCCACCCCGTGGGTACTCAGGATCCTTCCACAAGCTCCGTCATCCCCCACACCCCGACACCCGGCCCTACGCTCCACCTCGTGACTGGTGGTCACGGGCCGGGGGGCGGAGCTGCCCGGCTCTCCAGTCGCTGCCTACCATTGGCAGGGCCTTCCATCCATCACGTTAGGCTCCGCCCACGAGGCTGACGTTCCCCAGCCTACGTCTCTCCCGTAGGCCGCGACGTAGCTGGCGATTGGTGGAGAAGGCGGCAGCCGTCCCAGCGGAGGCGACGACGGGGCGGTCTCCGGCAGTCGGGACGAGCCGGAGCACGTCACCCCCTACGGCTGCGGTGGTCGCTCGCGTTCCGCCGTCCCGGTCCGTGCCGCCCTTTGCTGTTGCGGCCACCGCGGGACCATGGCAGCGCTCGTGGTGCTCCTGTCCTTGTTGGCGGCGGGTGAGGGTGGGGCGGCCGGGGCGCGCTCGGGGTGGCCGGGAGCCTCGGGGGGTTGGAGGCGGCCGCAGGTGGGCGGCAGCGGGGCGAGTGCCGCAGTGCGGGCAACCGGCGGCGGCCTCGCCCCAGCCGCCTTCCTCTCGGCCTTCTCGTCGGACCGACCTGTGGCGGCAGGCCTGGCGGGCTGCCGGGGCGGGGTCGGGCTGCGTGGGGGCACCTGAGCCGGCCTCCACCCTCCGCCTCTTCCAGGAAGGCGCGGCCGCGGGTTCCGCCGCCGGTCTCTTCCGGCTCCGGAGGCACGGGGGTGCATTTCCCAATTAACTGTGGAACCGCAGCCCTCCGCGAGAAAGGGAAAGCAGACTTCTCTGAGCTGCCATCAGATGCTGCGTTTCCTTGCATTTTTCTGGTGTCTTCCTTTCTAGCGGTTGTCATCAGTAATTGGTGACGTCTCCTCCCTTATGTTTCAGAATACAAAAGTTGGAGATGGGGTAATTGTTTTTGTAGGATTCTTTCTAAAGGCAAATTCAGCGTACCTCTGAGTAGTTTGTCAAGGTTCTCCATTTTAAGGATTTGGAAACTAAGATGTGAGTCACGTTCTTAGGGTCACATGTTAAGTAAATGGTAGCTTTCAGAGTGGAACCTAGGTTCCCTAGTGTTCAGCAAGTCCGCTAATATTTGGCCTCTTACTGTGTATCATTTAATTCATTTAATTTTACAGTAGTCCTTAGAAGAGGACATCATCCTCGATTTACAGGGTGATCAAGCTTAAATAAATTATCCAACAACACGCAGGTAGTAAGCAGCAAAGCTGGAATTGAACCCGGATCAGCTGGCTCCAAAGCATGGGTCTTTCCGTTATGTGTATTGTGGCACAGGTGATGGAAATGCGCCTGCGTGGGAATGATGGGGGGCCTGGATAGGAGGCTCAGACAGTGGCGAACAAGAGGCCAAGTTGAGAACTTGGAGAAACGGGGCTGTCTGTTTAAAACCTATAGCTTAAAAATGTGTGTGAGGGGTTGGGATGACCTGACCCACTTTTGGAATGGTGGTTTTTTTTGTTGTTGTTGTTGTTTTTTTTAAGATTTTATTTATTTATTCATGAGAGACAGAGAGAGAGACAGAGGCAGAGGGAGAAGCAGGCTCCCCGCGGAGCAGGGAGCCCGATGCGGGACTCGATCCCAGGACCCTGGGATCATGACCTGAGCCGAAGGCAGACGCTTAACGGACTGAGCCACCCAGGCGTCCCTGGAATGGTGGTTTAATTCTGCATGAGTGTATGTAGACCACTGACGTTCTTGAAATCTGCAGGTCTTCTCCATCCCTGGAGGTGTGCTCAGAGTTGTGTGTTGATGGTAATTACACTTATTTTCACATCCCCAAGGTTTTAAGGTTTTGTTCTTTCATTTCTGCTGCTGGCTCCAGAAGGGTCGTCCTGATCCATCTAGTAAGTTATTTTGAGGGGTGTTTTTCTTTCATTTTAAATTCAGTGTTTGAAATTTAAAAATCTTCCCTTTGATACTGTGATTTAACTGAATATCTGTTGAAATTCCATCTTTTAATGTTGACTGATACTGTTTTGATTCAGTGAGGTTTAGGGGTTGTTTGTTTTGGTCTGAGGCAAAGTAATTGCTTCTGTACACAGTTTGAACATGCTTTCCTAACTAGAATAGTCTAGTTCATGCAGGCTTGGAATCTGATCTTTTCAGTTTCTACGGTGCTTGGTCTTGTCACATGAGGTTAAATTACTGTTTTCCATAGTGACTAAGTTTAATTTAGTGGAAAACATCTCTAACAGATTGGACTTCTCTATTTGAGGAAATAAATAAGTCCTTTAAACTGGTGTTAACTAAAGCCGAGAGAGAACTAGAGGAAGGGAACTAGGGTTATGAATACCATGTCATGAGTATTTGAAAAAAATTCAGATGTTTACCCTGGAGAGGAAAGGCCAAGGGCAAACATGTGGAATTTGACAGAGTGTCATGTGGAAGAGGGATTTGATGTGGTCAGTGATGTCCCAGAAGTCAAAAGTAGGACCTATTTATTTTTTCCCTTATTGATTCCATCCACCGTTCATGGATCACAGCATAGTACGGTGGGAGTTCCCAAAGGGAGGGATACTTACCCCCTAGCCCAGAATGGGGAGGCGGAGGGAAAATTCCCTGGGGGGAGATGCCTCATGGGCAAATATATGAAAAAGGTTGGGGTGGGGGGGAAGTTTAGACAGAATGGCCTGTGTAAGAGCACAGAGATGTGAGAGCAAAAGAGCCAATAGTTCAGTGGGGCTAGAATGTATAAGGGTTAAGTTGGGGAGCTCCCAGAAGTAAGGTTGGTGAGGTTCCTTGGGTGTTATGTTTTGGGTTCTGTCTCAAAAGCTCAGGGCAGCGAGTGAAGGTGGTTAAGCTGATGGGTGAATGAACATACCTGTATTTTGAAAAGGTGCTAGAAAGGCTGGCTCAGAGAGGTGTGACAGGTCGTAAGGTGACCCAGTTCTAGCAAGCCTGGAAAGGGACTGGGAGTGTGCACTGGACCTGGAGGGGAAAGGATTTGTGAGATAAGAAGGAAAAAAAAAAATGGGCAGAATTCCGTGGTTGATTGGCTGTGGTGCTGAGGAAAGATTTAAAGATGACCAGTGTGAGCCGCTGCCTGAAGGATGGGGTCATCCTTGGAGATAGAGAACGCAGAAGGAGCATGTGGAAAGATGGTCAGTTCAGTTCGGAACCTGTTGAGTTTGAAGGACCCATGGGACTTAGAAGGAAATGCTTAGCAGGCTGTTGGATATGTAGGTCTAAGGCTCAAGGGAAATCTAGGCTGGCAATAAAAATCTGGGAGCCATTGTGTTTTTGGTGTTTGCAGCCTGAGGAGTAGATAGGCTCAGCCAGGGAGAGGGATATAGGATAGGAAAGCAGTGAGGGTCAAGAATGGAGCCCTCAGATCTCAAAAGTGGAGTATGCTAGGTGATCTCTTGGGATGCCAGAAGAAGGTACTAGAACTTCCATCTATAGCTTTTTTTAATCTTTTTTTTTTTTAGTAGTAACGATCAGATATTTTGTAGAATGTCCATCAATTTGGGTTTATCTGATGTTTTCTCATGATTAAATTGGGAAGAATACTACACAAGTATCTCATCCTTTTTAAAAAATTTGTTTTTGTGTGCTTTGAAATATATTATGAAGGTACAGTCTATTCTACAAGTGTGTACTTTATAAATAAATATATCTATATTGGGGCTGTTTTCAAATTTTGTACCCAAAGCGTTGAAATCTAAGAAGTTTGGACCTCTCTGCATTAAGGGATGGAAGGGAAAGAAACGGAAAACTGCCAGAGGGACTAGGGAGAAACAAAAACAAAAACCAGGGGCCCGGGTTTCACCAGGGCTAAGGGCGGAGACTTTTAAGGAGGGAGTTGCCCAGGATCAGGTGCTTTGAGAAGTTAAATAAATTAAGGGCTGAGAATTGTCTTTTGGATTTGGTGAGGCATTTCGGTGGCACGGTAGAGTTGGGAGCGATGGGTTGGGTGGTAATCTGAGATGAAGAAGTAGAGAAGCTAAGGGTCGTTGGCTGCTCTTCCAGGATCCTTCCTCTGAAGGGAAGCCGAGGCTGGTAGGACCAAAGCAGGGGTTTTGTGATCGTCATTTTAGAATGGGAGCACCCAGAGTGTATTTTTAGGAAATGAAAGAGCCATTTGGAAAGGGGAAGTTGGTAGCATGAGGCGTGGCTTCATTCATGAACTCAGCAAATTTTTTTTTTTTTTTAAGGATTTTATTCATTTGACAGAGAGAGACACAGCGAGAGAGGGAACACAAGCAGGGGGAGTGGGAGAGGGAGAAGCAGGCTCCCTGCAGACCAGGGAGCCCGATACAGGGCTCGATTCCGGGACCCTGGGACCATGACCTGAGCCGAAGGCAGACACTTAACTGACTGAGCCACCCAGGCGCCCCTCAGCAACTATTTCTTGAGCACCCATGTGTCAGGCACTGTTCTCAGCTCCTGGGGATATTGTGTGAACAAGACAAACTGAAATCCCTGCCCTCGTGGAGCTTCTATTCTACAGGGCCAGCTTTTATACAACCGCATAGCCACCTAGCTCCTGATCCTTGTCTTCCCGGAGTAGCAGCGTGTAATAAACACTGAATGACTAATAGGTGAGTGAATGAAGGCCCCTAAGAAGGCTGAATGCGGGGATGATGTTAGACTGGAGGAGGGACGGCCCAGCCAGCATCTGGAGGGAGAGGAGAGAAGGCCAGGGGCTGGTGCAGATAAATTTGTGGTGGGGAGAGGAAGCAGGCAGTGGGCGGGATTCCTGTGCTCTCTTTCGAAGCTGGAGGTGAGGTTATTTGGTAAGTCTGAGGCAGGGGTGATAAAAGAAGTTGCAAGAAGTCGGGAAGCTCATTTCAGTTGAGTACTGCAGTGGCCTTTCCGGGGGCTTGCAAGGTAGGGACGGCGGAGATGGCTGCTGGCCGGCGTCGGGTTTGTAAGTTGAGGCAGCGTCTCCCTTGACTGGTTGTATTGTGGTAGGGAATGGGTGACTTCCTGTCAGGTCTCCAGGGGAAACCTGGCTTAAGCAGCAGTGTCTCAGTCTAGGAGGCCCCAGCAGTAAGGTTTTCTAAAGCCCGAGGCTCCCGCAGGACTGTGGTGCAGGCACCGAAGTGGGCATTCTACCTACAGTGTTGGGGCAGAGTAATTCAGCAGAGCTCTCCTTGCTGGGACTGAGTGACTAGGGCCTTGCTGCAAAACAGGACTATCTCCAGATCCAAATATGGTTCTTCAAATTAGTGTATGGTACTTGGAAAGTGTAGGACTGTTGCTGCCCCATTTTCCTTAGCGTTTGCAATAACCACTACTGTAGTGAACCAAGATGTCTATCAGTTACAGACAGCCTTCCGTTCCGCTAATTATTATTTTTTTTTTTTTGCCTGCCTTCGGCTAGAACATTTTGGAAATTCCTGCTCTGGCAGCTGCGCTGAATTGAAACTCATAACTCTTCATGTTGTATCAGCACCATCCTGAGGCCTTTTATTTACTCTCAATACTGCAACACCAAAATATCTATTGTTGCTTCTAACTTTATTCCCATACCCTGTAAGTGGTACTTTCCTTAGGTCAAGAGAATAACAATGATGCTTTATTAAATAAAGTCTAATTTTCCCATACTGGGTAAGCATGGCCAAGATTTGTTTTGGACTCGGAGCTGATCTTTTCGTAGGAATCTGAAAGTTTCCATAAGTTACTTGTCTTTGTGCGAGCTAGACATCATTGGGTTTACACAAAATGGCTGAAGAGGCCAGATACCTCATCCTTGGAGGGTTTATCAAATAGGCCCTTTATTCTCATCCTTGCTCTGTTAATCTCAGGCTCCCTACCTCTAGACTTGTTGGCTTTATTATTACAGAATACCTGTTCTCAGCCTCTTGATACACCCATTGGATTCTAGACTACTTGGCTTCTAGAGTCTGCAATATTTATATTCTGACTAGTAACATGCCCGCCCCTTGCCTTTGACAGTTCTCACTTCACTGGGTTTGCTTATGGGATGTCAAGAAAGATCTCCTCTATCCTAAGATTTGCTAACTTGCTCAAGTTTTAGAGTGAAATACTAGGAGTTTTATGAATTTGCATTTTGAAGAGAGGGTCGATGGCAGAAATAATTTAGAGATTTCAGGTTTCTTCGTTTTAGTCTGTGCCAGGGGTTTGTTTGCTAGCGATTGATTGATTGATTGATACGATTTTATTTATTTGAGAGAGAAGCAGACTCCCGCTGAGCAGAGAAACTGACACGGGGCTCAATCCCAGGACCCTGAGATAAAGACCTGAGCCGAAGGCAGACGCTTAACTGACTGAGCCACCCAGGGGCCCCTATTTATTTATTTTTTAAAGTTTTATTTATTTAAGTAATCTCTACACCCAACATGGGGCTCAAAGCCACGACCTCAAGATCAAGAGTTTCATGCTCCTCCGACTGAGCCAGCCAGGTGCCCCTCATTTGCTTTTTAAATTCTGGAGAAATGCCATTGATTTCTAATTCTTGCCGATTTGGCAGATGCCCCCTTTTTTTTTTGTTTAAGATTTCATTTATTCATTTGAGACACACAGATGCAGAGAGAGAGAGCATGAGCAGGGAGAGAGGCAGAGGGAGAGGAAGAAGCAGACTCCCCGCTGAGTCAGGAGCCCGATGTGGGGCTCGATCCCAGGACCCTGGGATCATGACCTGAGCTGAAGGCAGACGCTTAACCATCTGAGCCACCCAGGCGACCCCAAATGCCTCTGTTTTAAGGGCCACCTGTAGGAAGGCATCTTGATCGTTAGGAGAATCCTGTTTCATCACTGTGCCTCTGTTAGCAGAATGTATGGACTTTGGTTCGTAGAGCAGTACTTTGAAAAAGAATTTGTTGATGTTTGGGATTCAGCATTTTGTCCAATAATATGTAGTATGCTGAGTCAGTGGAGAATGGGGAAACGTTTTATATTTAATTTTCTACACGGGTGCAAAAGATTTATGATGTTGATCATTTATTAATCTGTTTTCTTCCAGGTGTTTTGGGGAACGAGTTTAGTATATTAAGATCACCAGGGTCTGTTGTTTTCCGAGATGGAAATTGGCCTATACCAGGAGAGCGAATCCCAGACGTGGCTGCGTTGTCCATGGGCTTCTCTGTTAAAGAAGTAGGTGTATTTTTTTTTTTTAAGATTTTATTTATTTGACAGACACAGCGAGAGAGGGAACACAAGCAGGGGGAGAGGGAGAAAACGGCTTCCTGCCAAGCAGGGAGCCCAATGTGGGGCTTGATCCCAGAACCCTGGGATCATGACCTGAGCCGAAGGCAGGCGCTTAACGACTGAGCCACCCAGGCGCCCCAAGAAGTATGTGTATTTTTAAAAAGATACTGGGAGCTACTTCTGAAAGTATTTTTGATTTTTCTGCTAATGGCCCAAGAAAGCAAGAAGCAGACATAGGTATATTTGGTACAGATTACAAAAGTGAAAAAGCTCATTTGTAGTCGGGGAGATTTGGAGACATGCTACAGTCTTGGCTTATGAAATCAAATCATCATAAATCATTAACCATGTAATCATTCATAGTAGTGATGTTCTTTGTATATGAGAACACATCTGTCCTATTAATAGGATGTATAGTTTTACTTTTTTTTTTTTCTTTTTCAGTGCACAATGGATGTATGTCTTAGTTTGGGTTGCTGTTACAAAATACCATAGCCTGGATGGCTTATAAACAACAGAAATTTATTTCTCACAGTTTTGAGGGCGAGAAGTCCAAGATCAGGGTGCCAGCCCGGTCGGATTCTTAGAGAGGGCCCTCTTCCAGTTTGCAGATTGCTGACTTCTTTTCATGTCCTCACATGGTGGGGAGAGGGTAGGAACTCTCTGGGGTCCCCTTTTTTTTTAAGATTTTATTTATTTGGGGGTGCCTGGGTGGCTCAGTCATTGAGCGTCTGCCTTCGGCTCAGGTCGTGATCCCAGGGTCCTGGGATTGAGCCCCGCATCTGGCTCCCTGCTCCGCGGGAGGCCTGCTTCTCCCTCTCCCGCTCCCCCTGCTTGTGTTCCCTCTCTCACTGTCTCTGCCAAATAAATAAAATCTTTTTTTTTTTAAGATTTTTAAATTTTTATTTATTTGACAGAGACACAGCGAGGGAGGGAACACAAGCAGGGGGAGTAGGAGAGGGAGAAGCAGGCTACCCGCCGAGCAGGGAGCCCGATGTGGGACTCGATCCCAGGACCCTGGGATCACGACCTGAGCCGAAGGCAGACGCTCAACGACTGAGCCACCCAGGCGCCCCTGGGGTCCCTTTTTATAAGGCACTAACCCCACTGTGAGGGCTCTATCCTCATGACTTCATCACCTCCCTAAGGCCCGCCCCTAATAGTGTCACATTGGGGGATAGCTTTCAATGTGAATTTTGGGGGGGACACACACGTTCAGTCTATTGCAATTTATTATGAATGATAAAACGTGCATGCATCTTGCCTGAGTCTGAGAATATAGTGCAGTCAGCAGCTGTGGGAATGAAGCCATAAGCTGTTGAGTAACTGGCTGCTTCTGTGATGTATTGGAGGGGGTGTAGATCCTGTCAGGACGAGGGGTCTGCAGTGAAAGGCATGGAGAGAGGGGATGCAGTCTGCCGTCTTGCTATCGTTAGCTCTTGGCACTTAATAAGTTTTGTACTTTTGACATGGTCTCTAGATAATCACCAGTCACTCAAAGGAACTTTCCTCCCAGGTCCTGAGTGCCCTTGAAACCAGAAGCAGTGCGAGGGAGCTCCCTCTCTGCAGGGCCTGTGGCTGGAGCCCCTGAGCTCCCTGTGGGAACATGAGTGGTTGCTTTACATTTAAGGATGAAATTTGTACCTCCTCCTTCACAGACTTAAATTTGACTACGAGTGGCTGTCACAGTAACCCTGAGAAATAATTATTAGTAAATTAATGTGAGCTACTTTGAGCAGGAATTTTATTTATGACAAGCTTAGTCTAAAGAGAAGACTTCTAACGGCAGTTCTGCTGTGTCCTTATGAAAGACAAAAGCCACGCCGTCCACAAGGGCAGGTGATGGTGAGGAAGAGTTTGTAATCTGAGATTTGAAAAGGACCTACATTTTGTTTCCTTGTCTGCTTTCTTCCACAAAAGGTTTGAGAGGACTTACTAGTAAGACTTTGTTGTTGTAGATCTGTGGAAGTTTAAGAACACAAAGGAGGTCGAAATCCCTGTCCCTGGTTAGGAGTTTGCAACTGCTGCCTTCAATGAAACGTTTGCTCCCCCTGGAAATTAATGAGCTAAAGAAACCAGAAGAATTTCAGAATAAATGGAAGAAAAGAAACAACAAAAATCAAAAGGCAGATTTAAAAAATAATCTTAGTAATAATATTAAGAATGTAATTTCTGTGAAAATCATTGTTGAGGATCCCTTTAAAATAAATATATAAATGGAATTTTCATTGTTTGTGTCGTCCTGGAACCCCTTGACTCTGCTTAGTACCTGTTATTGGGGCAGGGGTTTCTGGAGCGGATAATTAAGCACCATCTCATGCTTTCCGGTGTTTAGGACCTGTCTTGGCCAGGACTTGCGGTGGGTAACCTGTTCCATCGTCCTCGGGCTACCATTATGGTGATGGTGAAGGGAGTAGACAAACTCGCTCTACCCCCAGGCAGTGTCATTTCGTACCCTTTGGAGAATGTGAGTATTTATTATAAAAAATTAAAGGCATGCATTTTTAATCTTGTCTGCTGTCGTTATGAATTGTGTTCTAAACACCTTTCTCTTGTCTACATTTTCTTGTCCATTATCTTGTCACCTTCCCGTCCGAATTTTACCTGCTACTTGGTGTAAGTAGGAGACTGGAGGCTATTTTGCCGGTTCACTTACGCCTTCACTGGCTTTTCAGGCAGTATGGCTGGCTGAGCTGTCTTGAGAGGCCCTCCGTCCGCTGCCAGCAGGGAAGTCCCCAGAACATCATGTAGCTGAACTTGCGGGCAAGGCAGGGATACACAGAGCTGCCAGATGGGAACAGACAGCTCAAGAGCCACAGCGGTGAGCCGGAGCTCCATGTTTCTTGCAGAAAGCCAGGGGCTATGAAATGATAGCTTGTTCTCGAAAGGAGGACCAGGAAAACCCCAGCTGCCCCAGGGCTGCCACAGAGCAGCTGGCTTACCTCTCTTGGTGGGGGAACCCAAAGGGTCCCCTAAGAGAAATTGGAACTCCAGGCTCCTGGCGTGCCCAATTCACACGACCCACCCCATTTGGACACCTCCACTGCCCAGGGCTGCTTTGGTTTAAAAAAAAAAAAAAAAAAAAATCGAAGATGAGTAATTTACAAAGCACTTGCAAGAAAGGAGTGCTGTGAGAGAATGCGCAGGTGCAACAAACCGAATCCATCCCCTTAGAACTACAGATAATAGACCAATCTCCAGGAGATGTGAAAATACATACGTTACAATTGTGAAAGGAGTTCAAGGAAGGGATAGAAACTGTGAGGCAGGTAGAAGACCTTTTTGATATGTGGTGCGTTCATTAATACGTCTAAATATTTCATAATTTATCTTGTGATTTCTTTAACCCATGAGTTATTTAGAAGTGTTTAACGTGTGGGTTCTTTTCAAATTTTTAATTTTTCAGCTTCTAATTTCATGGCACTTGAAGACTAGTCTGTATGATGATTTGGGGGGAGTTTTTCAGACTTCTGTGGTCTAGTATAAATTATTTCCAGGCACACACAACATGGTTACAAGAGGCCATGTACTAGGCCACAAGGCAAATCTCAACAAATAATGAAGAATTAGTATCAAATAAACCACCCTCTCTGACCACAGTGCAGTTAAATCTGAAAACGATACCTTAAAAATGTACTTGGAAGGGTGGGGAGGATGGAGGGGAAATAGGTGCAGGGTAGGAAGAGGTACGAACTTCCAGTTATAAACGTTACCGCACAGGGAGTACACGCTGTGACGTCGCCTAACTTAGTGACAGATGGAAACATTTATACACATTAGTCCTTTCCTAATGTGTATAAATGTTGGGTCACCGGGTTGTACTCCTGCAAACTAATGCAATATTCCATGTCAACTATACTTCGGTAAAAAGTAAAGAAAAACGTATTTGGAAACGGTAAAAACAAAATAGATGACTCCTCAGGTTTAAAGCGCACTGGAAATCTTAAAAGCTATCAGAAAAAAAGACATTGTCTTTACAAAGGAATGAGAGTAGAAAGCAGATTTCTCATTGCCATTAAGGACTGGAAGAGCAAGAACTGAAAAGGAGGGATTGTCTAGTATAATGCCAGGCCAAGAATACAGTTTACATTGTCATAATAATGAAATGATACGGATCCAATGAAAATCAGGACTCTTGAGAAGGTGAAGACCTAGAAACGGAGTGCCTTATGGGGGGGGGCTGTGGTTGGTGACATGAGAGAGCTAAATCGTCATTTTCTATACTCAGCAGTAAATCTCTAAAATGGAAGAATCAAGATGTGATATAAACATATTTAGAGATGGTGGCAAAAGGAAACAGGTTTTGAAAGTGGGGTCCTTGGGAATGGGAAATGGGGGCAAACTTTTTTCTTTAAACTTATTTTTCATAGAAAGTCTGATAGAACTCTGCATGTCTTTAAACTGTATAATCTTTTTTTTCTATATAACTTTTGAAAAAATTTTTGATCTTAGCATGTGAGCTGGGGAGAAAGGGTAGAGGCTAAGGGAAAGGGGGAGAAGTGGACTCCCCACTGAGTGTGGGACCCTGCGCCACCCCCCACGGCTTGTTCTCCAGAACCGGAGATCATGACCTGAGCTGAAATCAAGAGTTGGATGCTTGGGGCGCCTGGGTGGCTCAGTCGGTTGAGCGACTGCCTTCGGCTCAGGTCATGATCCTGGAGTCCTGGGATCGAGTCCCGCATTGGGCTCCCTGCTCGGCAGGGAGTCTGCTTCTCCCTCTGACCCTCCCCCCTCTCATGCTGTTTCTCTCTCGCTCGCTCCCTAATAAATAAATAAAATCTTAAAAAAAAAAAAAAGTTGGATGCTTAACTGAGCCACCCAGGTGCCCCATCTCTTGGAAAAAATCAACAGGAAAAGTTAGTTGGAATAGATGGACTACCAAATAATTCATGAGTTGAGAAAATCACAGTGGAAGTTTTGAAATTATTTGGAACTGAATATCAGTGAATGTACCAGATATTTAAAAGTGGTGGGGTGCAGCTAAAGGAAGAAAAGGAAAAAATTGATAGCTTAAATGCACACGTTAGACAGTTTAAAAGACAGGAAATTAATGAGCTAAAGAAACCAGAA